ACGTCCGTTTCAGAGAACCAGAGGACAAATATTTCAATCGATCGCTCAGGCATGGCACCGAAATCTGCGTTCTGATTTGGTTCTAGTACATACCGGTTACATAGGTACCGGTGCCATATTGGTACCGGGTTTCGGTACCCAACCCTAGAAATGACGAGTGACTGAATAGAAGTATAGTAGGAAGGCAGAGAGAACAAAAAGACTAAACATGGAAAGGAAAGGAAAGGAAAGGAAAGGAAAGGAAAGGAAAGGAAAGGAAAGGAAAGGAAAGGAAGAGTGAAGTAAAAGAAGGAAGGCAGGCAGGTAGGAAAGATGAAAGGTAAAAAGGAAAGAAAGAGTCATTTACTGGATGGAAGGAAGGAAAGATGAAAGGAAGGAAATGGAAAAGAAGAGCAAAGAAAGAAGGAAAGGGAGGAGAAAAGGGACAGAAGGAAGTAAAGAAACTGTTCTTAGAAGGTAAAAAAGAGGAAGTGGGAAGGAAGGAAGGAGGAATCAATGCAGGAAGTAAATAATAATAAGTTAGATTTGATGTGTTTGTACTCAGGGGTCAGTTCCTGGAGTATGGCAGTGATGGAGGGGCCATGACACAGCCACGCGAGTGGAAAAAGTATGATTTCCATTATGACAACGTCATGTGGGCCTTTCTGACCCTGTTCACTGTCTCTACAGGAGAGGGCTGGCCAACGTGAGTCCACACACACACACACACTGTGATCTTACAGAGACATGTTAAAAACATGTTAGTTTTCTTACTCTGATCTCTTTCTCCTTTTGCTCTGTCTGTTCTGATTAAGTTTCTCTTCTTGCTTAATTCTCTCTGGTGTAATCTGTGTTCATCTCAACTCTGCTTACTTTTAACTCCATATTTTACTTACTTTAAACTCCAGATTTTCATAGAAAAACACATACTTGGTTAAGAGAAAAGAAAAAAAAAACCTCCTGCGCTGCAACAAGAAAATCCAGAAAGTTTTTCATATTTAAATTAAATCCCTCTTTAACACTCAATAACTGTGTATGGTACTCTGTGATATCTACGCATTCTTTCATGGACAAGGATGTAATCTTAACCATTGCATATAAACACTTTTTCCCTCTCTGCGGTTTTAAGATGATGCTTTTGGTCTGTTCTACTTTATGAAAATGTTTTAAATTTGTACTTGAAATTTTTTAAATGATTTGTGTCTTTTTTTCTTTTCTTTCTTTCTTTCTTTTTTTTTATTTTTTACTTTATGGCTTTTTATAGAGAGTGTCAGTTAGAAAAGAAACAGAAAACAAAAGGGATACAATTCCACAGTTAAAGAGAAAACTGCCAGAAACTAAATATGTATTACATTTATGCTGTTTTAATTTTTATTACTAGTTCAGGTCTGTGGTAATCTACCATTTGTTGCATTTTTATTACAATTATTACATGATTAGTTAAAGGAAAAAATCACTGTGAAATCAAACTGGACAATTTTTATTTTTTATACAATGTCAAAGTGTTTATTATAAAAGATTTACCCTTATTTTATCTTTTCTCATTATTTTTTAAAAACCACTGCCTGAAAGACAAAACCAAGTTCTGTCCTGTTTTGTTTTCTCATCCGAGAAGCCGTTTCCCTCAGATATACAGTACATCACAGAAGAGGAGAAAAAAAGTATCTTAATTTCTAAATAATTACTACTTTCTTTTTTTTTACTTTAAAACAAGAATATAATCATTTCAAATGTTTTTATTATTATTATTTTTTAATATAATATATTAACCATTTTTAGTATATGCTTTCGAGGAAACCCTTTGTAGTTTTGGATGTAAAATCACACCTTCTTATGCTTAAAATGGCTTTTAAAGGTCTGTTCACTGTGGTGGACACAGTGCATCAAAGGGTTAAAATGAGAAAAACGTATCTTGATGAACTTGCCAGTGTTTGATCATCTTACTGACATTCTCCTTGTGGTTTTCTAGAGTGCTGAAACACTCTGTTGATGCCACATTTGAAGACCAGGGTCCCAGTCCGGGTTACCGCATGGAAACCTCCATCTTCTACGTGGTCTACTTCATCGTCTTCCCCTTCTTCTTTGTCAACATCTTTGTGGCTTTGATCATCATCACATTCCAGGAGCAGGGAGATAAAGCCATGTCAGATTGCAGCTTGGAAAAGAACGAGGTAGGACGGGACAGTTGGAGGCTTGCATAGTCAGTTAAAATCAACCATAAGCAGGCAAGTAGATGGGGTGACGGCAAACTGTAGGCACCATTCACTGTTGCTTAAAATGGAGTTTCAGTGTATGCTAATTCAAGGTCAAAGTCTTGTTTCATACATGCATGGACAGTTGTGAGATGCCTGGAAGAGAAGCACTCTGAAGAGAATTCCTCTTTCCTGTGTGAGGCCAACGCACCTGTCGGTCTGCATCTCCACTTTCTTGACTCTAAACTCTTTTGACAAACACATGCTCACACACACAAGCACAGAGTTAAACCCCGGGAGGAACTACCAGACCAGTCAGGCAGAACTCCTTCAACTCTATGGCTTTGTTCTAAAACCTTTTAAGCTGCATTGTTATCTAAACCATTATTGAACCTCCTAAATGATTGATTTGAAGTGCTCTACATAGGCATAGTTTCTACCCTGTTGAGAAAAGCGGGCGTTAAACTGGGCGGCCAGCTGGTCTTCTTGCCTGATTAACTGAAAAGTGCCCAAAACTTCTCTAAAACCAGCCAACAGACCAGTCTATCCAGGCTGGGAGACCAGCTAAGAACAGCAAACCACCTTATGCTGGTTTAAGATAGTTTTTAGCAGGCAGTGCTAGTAGTTGTAATTCCTGTATGCAATATATTAACAGTTTGTGAAAATTAAAATATAAAATTAGAAAACATAAAAAATATTTAAGTACCGTTTTATCATATGTCCTCATATTTATTTTGTTTTATTTGTGTTTTTGTTAAGTCATAATTTTGTTATAATATAATACTCTTTTGCTATTTGCAGTGGTTACTGTTTACTATTTTTAATATTGTGATTTCAGGGCCCAGTTAGGGTCATTTTGGCCGGCAAACATTATACTGATTATTAATTATTATAATAGAAGTTGAACCCCATAACAATTAAATTAAACAAGTGAGATTTCAATTATATTTTGACCACTGGACTAGGAAATGTCCTTAGTTTACATTTCAGATATCTGGTCACCTTAATATATAAGTTTATCTTGGTTCCATTTTGATTTTTTTTTTTCACTGAGCTCATTGCAGTGAATTCTGGGAATGCTTATTAGAAGTTGGACAATAAAGAAGGCAGCATTATTATACAGTACTAGGTTTTGGAGCGGAGCAAAAATCGATTCTATTTTTCCTTATTTCTCTCTTTTTCTGAGTTCTCTGTATTTGTCTCTATTCTGTATGTATATATTTGTATCTTCTCTCAGAGGAGATATTAGTCTGTGTTTAAATATTAAACTGCTGTAACTCTGATTTGTGCAGCTGGTTTGATGTTTGTCTTCTAGCACTCATTCGTTCAGTCTTTCATTCGTTTGATTTAGAGAGCTCTGGGAATACCAATGCTGTTCTGATAATCAAACATGGAAAGATCAGGGTGATGAATAGTTATATGCTTGTAGACATTCACTTCAACATTTTGTTGAGGACTTCATGTTGAGATAAGTGTGCTTTGATGTCATCTACAGCGAGCTTGTATCGACTTTGCCATCAACGCCAAACCTCTGACTCGCTACATGCCGCAAGACAAGCAGTCTTACCAGTACAAGATATGGAAGTTTGTGGTGTCCACTCCATTTGAGTACTCCATCCTGACCATGATCGCCATCAACACAGTGGTTCTCATGATGAAGGTAACACAGCTGTCATTTGTAGACTGTTGAAGTTGCAGTAAGTTAAAAAAGGGAAATTTACTATTAGACATTTATACATGATGTTTTTTTTTCTCCATAACTGCTTGTGGCATGGCAGTCATACAGCAAACTTTTAACAAAAAGAGGTATTTTAGATTAAGTCATTGCACTCAATTATATAGCATAATGCTTTGCTCCTTTGAGAACCGTCTAGTGCAGTTCATCTGTCAGTTGTCCGTTTGGTAAGCTGCTAACAGGAAGTGACCTCTAGCCTTTTATCTCTAAGGACTTTACACACTTAAAAATACAGGTTCTCAGGATCCATGGTTCCATGAAGAACCTTAAGCATCCACAGAATCTTTCCATTGCACAGAAGGTTCTTTGTAGTGAAAAAAGATTTTTAAGATGTTCTTCACACTAAGATGGTTCTTTTAAGTACTCTTCGCTGATTAGTTCCTCGGGGAACCAAAAATGAATATTCTATAGTGTCGCTGTGTGTGTACCAAGGTTGTGCAATAGATACACACTGAGAGAGTCCAACACACATATTGAGGTTCAGCAATGCTGATTATTGCATATGAAATGATGTGTGTGAATATTCAGTTATGAATAAGTCATTTCTAATTTGCACTCCTGAAAGCCTATTTTACAGATCATTTGAATATTTGAGTGAGTCACTGTCGCTCTGTTTTTTCTTCCTCTGTAGTTCCATGGTGCTCCTAAACCGTATGAGGACATGTTGAAGTGGTTGAACATCATCTTCACAGCTCTCTTCACGCTGGAGTGCATTCTCAAGGTCATCGCCTTTGGCCCTCTGGTGAGAGTGGAGAGACTCTGATATTACTTATCTTTTATCATTACAGTCGGTGTTTGATACTAAACTAGGTATTCTGTCTATGTATAACACTACTACTGTATGTACAGCAAGTTTAGTAAAAAAAAATGAACACTGCACTCCAGTCATTTCAAGTTTTACCAGGTGACATTTATTGTCTTCCAGTATTCTATTATCAATGCATTTCATCATTTTAAACTAGTAGAACCTTTTTCTTTTGATAAAACTTGATTCACTCAATAATCAATAAAACCATGTGTTGAGACTTTGGTTTACTGGAGTGGGTAACATCTATCTATTATTTTTTTTTCAAACATTTTTTTAATTGAAATTCCTAATATTTTATTTAATGTAATTTTTATTTTATTATATTATGTAATTATTTCGAAATGTCAAACTGTGTTTGATCAGTTTACAGGTCAGATGGACTTTTGCTGTCTAATAGGGCAGTTCTTGGTCAGAATAAATTGCCAGGTGGACCAGACTTTTAGTAAACACTAGTTAGTAAACACTCAAAACTAGTTTGATCCAGTGTTGAGAGGGGCAGAAAAAAAATGACACCATGAATGACTGATTTGAGTGAAAAGTGGAGCCTTGTTGGTTGATTGACCAGCCTCCAGGGCCGTCGGCATTGCAAGAACTGTGAAATCAGTGAGAAGCTAATGATGGCCCGGTGGGTGAGAAGCGTGTGGTTTGGTGTACAGTATGAGCAGGGCTGTGTGTGCTGCATCATAAATCTCTTTTTGGTGCTGGCTGGTCTGACATGCAGCAGAAGGTCTCATCTCAAGCTCCATTTCCATTTATGAGGGTCATTTATTAAAAAGCTTTTCTGGTGCGTGACGCTTGCGTTTACCTCCACCTGTTCGGAGCTCAGGGTTGATGAATGGGTCTTTCTCATGTTGTTCCATCCGGGATCCATGTCTAGCAGCAGTCGACTAATCTTTGCTCCATCAGGAGAGACATGAACCCAAGGCTAAGACACCTGGCAGACCGTCCTGCCATTAAAGATCTATTACACCACTCACCAATGTCTGCATTTCAGGCTGCCTGTGTTTGTGTGTATGATTCTCTATATTTGTAAGAGCCACATTGTCCTCGCTAGTAAAGTAAAAGATTTTAAAACGTACTATCTATGGTTTATACTTAAGCTAAATCGAAATCTAAAAATGCCAAAAGAGGTCTCTAAGGAATAAGGGTGGAGTTAAAGGGGGTAATTATAATGAATTCATTCAGAAAATGCAGCTCTGCTGAAAAGCTCTTTTCAAAAATCTAGTGAGCTGCCTTACCATCTACAGAACCTGCTTTTAATGCAACATCAAAACTGAAATTAAACCTCATAACTGGCTAATTTTTTTAATAGTTTGACAGAAGCACATTTCTAAGCTTTTAAAATATTTTTTAAAATAATAAATAATAGTACTCAATTTAAAAAATCTAACTACTGTAGCAATTCATTTTAATATTCAATAGAATATAAGATTGTTAGCAATTTGTTATAATTATTTACAATTATAATAGAAAAATTGTTTATATATTATGTACATATAGGTGTGTTTGTGTATATATATATATATATATATATATACAATTATGATAGACAGACAGACTGATAGACAGATAGACAGATAGATAGATAGATTGATCGATAGATACTGTTTAAGTTGTTTGTGGTGGAATTTGATTTTAATAACTGTAGTTTTATATATTTCCTCAATGTTTGCAGAACTACCTAAAGGAGGCATGGAATATTTTTGATTTTGTTACTGTGCTGGGGAGCATCACTGATATCCTGGTTACTGAGATCAAGGTGAGTCATCAAAGAGACACATCAAAGCATTTGAGAACCAAAATTCAAAGGTATTTAAATAAAATAATTTTAAATCTCAACACACATATGATGTTAGAAATAATATAACTGACTTACTGCAGTGGATGTTTCAGATAAGAACCTCTAAAAGCTAGGGATGCACCGATACCACTTTTTCCAGTACTCGCCCAATACCGATATTTTATTTTTGGTACGTGCCGATACAGAGTACCGATACCAATATTTTTATTGCATTTTCATCTGAAACGTGCTGCGATTTATATTCCAAAACCACTCATATAATGCAGAAACACTCAAGCAAGCAAAACACGCGCAACGCGTGCAAGTATTTGTACTGATGCAGAATGAGAGGACAGTAGTACAGCCTAGCGCATTTCACACAGGCTGTTAGATTCACTTTCGCCAGAAAATTGTGTATGCCTAAGGTTGAAATGCCCCTATGAATGCCCCTATAAATGGTCTTATTTTTACGATTTAGTTTTAA